CCTGCACCTCTGGCCTGTACCCCAGTTCTGTATACACAAATAAATCTTAAAAAAAAAAAAAAAAAAAAGCTCTGCAAGGTATCAAGGAGTTCATCTAATTTGGACACCTTCAGCAGACAACGCAAGCTGACTCCACAGTGAGGAAGGGGCTTGTCTAGCGGTGAGCACTGGGCGCAGAGAGTGGCCCAGTGGTGACCACTGGGGCTCCCTGGACAGGCGATGCCTGCAGTAAATGTGAAGTGCTCAGTGCCGCTAGCTTTTCCTCCCGCTCTCTACAGCGCACTAAGCGTGCCGCGGCGCACAGACCACTCGATGAAGCCGTCGGCCGAGTTGCGACTGTACTCCCCTTGATCAATTCAAACCATATTTTTCATTTTTCTAAAGTCAATTTCACCCCCGTTTTGCTGAAGGAGAAGCAACGATCAGAAGATGGAATCGATTTCCTCATCCAGCACGACAAGAACTGGATTCGCAAAGGGAAATGAAAAGAAATCACAAAAGAAAAGCAATAGAACACAAATACGATTGGAAGAATTTCCCGGAGCAAGGATGAGGGAGTTCTTCTGATTGGAAATGTAAGTCTCCGTGGAGAAGAGTGAGTTTCAAAGGCCTTTCACGGGGTGCATCTGGGCTCCCTCCGTGACCCGACTTTCAGCAGGCTCTCTGAGTCCTCGCTCCCGACCTCTCTGCTGGCCTGGGCCTACTGAGCCCCACTCAGCAAGAATCCCCCCACCCTGACACCTAACCCCATTCCTCGTTGCAATTTTCCAGCCACTGACCCTCAACCCAGCCATTGGCTAGAAATTTCCAGCAGCCTCTCGAATTCAGAGCCGAGTTCAATCTCCCTCCTGTTAACAACGGTCTTGACCACTCTTCCTCACCTGCTGAATTCCGTGAGGTACAATTTTTCTTGGGCAGTTTCACCTGTCAGTGCCAGACTGTTGCTCAGTTTCCTGCCACAAACTGCCTGCTATTTGTGGCCTTGTCTTGACAAACCTGGTTCATTCAGACAGCAGCTCACCTGACACAGGAACCCATGCCCCACCCCGGGAGGCGAAGGTGTCCTGGTTAAACTACACTAAACTACAGCATTGCCTCCGACTGGGTGTGAGGTTTCCTGGCTGGTCCTCAGTGAACCATGTGGACTTAAAGACAGAGCTACAAATATGAGAGAGGCAGATGTGTGACCCCAGAACACCCCTTGAGTCCTGACTCCTGGGGCACCGTCCTATTTGATTTATATCATTTATGTCCAAATTAAAATATTTCTCCATAAATAAGAGATGATGATTTCGTCACCTCTCTGGAGCATGTTCACACATTGCGTCTGTGAGCCCTGGCTTTTGATGGCTGCAGATAGGTTTACCACAGCACACC